CCCCCGCGCTTCCGCCCGCCGCCGGGGCCCCTGGGAGCTGTAGTTCCGCCGGGATTTCTAAGTGAACAAACACACCAAGCAAAAAACCCCGCGGCTTGACTTAAAAACTGCGCGTCTGCCGGAGGGGGCTTCTCTCAAGTGCGTTTTAGGCCCCCTCCGTGCACAGGGATGAAGCGCTGACCGGTCCCGCGTCCGTTCTTGAGGCTGCTGAAGCTACTGGCGCAGGGCTAAAGGTCTCCCTCTGCCCCGGCTTTTCCTGCTGTCGCCTCCCTCTAGTTCTAAGGCGCTCACAATTCGGCGCCGCTTAAATACACACAGAAAGAAGCTCGTAACGCCCCTGGCTCGGCTTTCCCCTTGCGAGCCCTTTGGGGCTGCCGGCAGGCAACGCAGCACACTCGGTGCGGTGCGGGTGTTCGGCCTTCTACCCTAACAGCCATGGAACCGGCTCCCGTCCCACCCCTCCCAGATCTACCGAAGACCCCTCTAGCCACAGGAGCAGGCTCGCAGGAGCACTGCGGGGTGGCGTGAGACCCTGGGCTGGTGCACCCCCCCTGACAGACCTTCTGGTGCAGCATGCTCCATAGATGGTATTTCACAACAACAGGAGGGAGGAGGGAAGCGATTTTACCAGGTGGCATTTCACCTTTCTGAAAACAACCCTTAACTCCTTAGCGCTCAGCCTTGAGCACGAGAGCCACCCTCAGAGCATCCGTACTCTCCAAATAAAGAAACGGTGTTCCCGCTAAGCACTGATTTAAAACCGGAGTCACTTCCCCCCCCCCCCCCCCAAAACCAGGAAAAAACAGATGACAATAAATTAAGCAGAAGTCTTTACACTGTTATCACAGAAGTGGCTTTTCAATGGTTCAAAAACCCTACGCGTGATTACTGCCTGTGTGGCAGGCTGGGTCAAAGGTGGAAGTAATCTGAATATGGTAAGACACTTTTTAACAGCCCATGAGCTAAGGTGCCCTCAAGTCATGTTAAAACAAGCTCTTCCTAGTAAATAGACCGACGGAGGTACGGGTTCTTCTCTTTGCACTGACATGCCTGGAAAAATCAGACACAAAGCGGCTACACAAATGTAAAACTCCTGTAAAAGACCTAGGCCAAGCTCAGAAGACATGTCCAGAGTAACGTTCCATCTGGCTAGAAACGTATTACAGTTGGCACCCACAAGAGCCAGCCATGTTCGGGGCCTGGGGAATTCCAGTGGCTGTCAAAACCAGAACAGCTACAGTGAAAAGCAAAAGGCACAGTTACAGAAAGGACACACAGAAATGAGTATCTGGGAATTCCCAAACATCTCAGCTATATTTTTTAGTGCATTGCATAGAAGTCATTGCAGATTAAACATGCAATGTTTAATCTGTTTGTTCGTAATTTGAGACATCTCTAGCTGAAAAGAGGCAGATCTGAATAATTTCGGAGAGAATGGGCCCGTGTTAGTTAGGGGTCAGAATAAAAAGGGTAACCAGCAAGGGCTGAACACCTAACACCTCCCGAGAAAAGTCTAGCTCTGGACTCCCAGCTCTATAGCTTAATCTCCTAAATGGTGTCTATTTTGTTTCCGCTTCTCCGTGGGCTTCAAGATTTCCTGCAGGAGATCTTACAGACCACAGGCATAGCCAACAGTTCAGCTGATCAAAACTCTTTTGTCCCTGAATTTCGCACCGCCTTGAGAACTAAGAGTGAACCCTTATCTAGGTGGTGGGAGAACACATACTTACAGCAGCCTGTGCAATGGGAGAAGCTGGCAGCAATCTGACCACCGGCAGGCTCCTTACACGCACCACCAACCCATCCCAACAGTAGCATACTAGGAAGCCACCCTAAAACCATGCTGGTGGAGAGAATGACCAACTTCCCACGAAAGGTGGGCGTAAACAGCTCCCCGGGAAACTGACGTTAAACTGAACGAATAGGTAGCAAGATGCAAATGACTGGGCAGGGATTCATGCCACTGAATAACATTATTTCCGCCTCTGCAGCTAAAAAAAAAAAAAAAAAGTCCTCCCCAACTCTTCTAAGCATTTCCCTTTGCAAACAGCACCACTCTGATCTTGCCTGCTCGCAGCTCAAGCCTGCGGGACTTCATCTCGCCAACTTTGCTTTGCTACCAACCTTCTGACTCCACTTTCTGCTGGCCGAAAACAAAACACAGAATGGAGCCCCGGGGTTGTTTTGCCATTTGCCGTAACATTTGGCCTCCCAGCCAGGAGCTGAAGAAAAGGGAGGACAGGCAAAGTAACCATAGCTGAGGGCCTTCAGAGAGGAAAGGCAATTGCCGCTCACCATTCTCCAGGTTATCCTACAGAGGAAAAATGAGTCAGAAAATTGCAGATCCACCAGCCACCTTGCCTCTCAGTTCTGTGGGAGGGTGACAAATACGTGCAAGAACCACCCTGCCGCGGGTGTACGCGCGCATACTTTGCTCAGAACCATAAAACTGAAAGTATGTTTTTTCCTTCCTTGATGACTGCGTGAGCCACATATAAATTCACAGTACAGCTACTTCCTGCAGTCCTTTAGAGGATTTTGATGGGGTTTTGCCTCCCTTCTAGTAGGTCTTCATCAGCAGGCAATAATGTTAGCTATGGAGGTGGCCTGATTTTAACAGGTAGAACAAAATACCATGCCAATTTAAGGACAGGGTGTGACTGAGCAGCACACCTCCCCCATAGTGGAGAACAGCTCAGAGGAGAAGGGCAAAAACCCCAAGGATCTCAGGGAAGAATACATCCTAAAGAAAACTCAATTTACCTGAACATCAGGGAGACTTGGAGGGTAACTGTAGCTTTAGAGAAAATGGCTGCACCTGTGAATCATCAGGTTCTCCAAGACAATTAACAGAGGATAATGTCTTCCTGAGCTAGCCAGACCAGCATGGGGGGGTGTGTGAATACATGGCTCACACAAAAGTATAAAAACTGGACAACTGAACATTTAAACTTTGAAAAGAGCTGCAGGCTTGAGCTGGCTTCAACCCACGTGTTCTATCGTGACTGGGGATGCCCAATGTCATGATGGTGAGCATAGAGAGACGGGTAATGAGAATCACGTTTGTACTGTAGTTCGACTGTATTGCTAAATTATGCTTGTGTTGTGATTTCAGTATGTCGCTGTTATCACTCTACTAAAACAAAACCCCATGTAGAACCAAATATACCAAAGCAGTAAACTTGAGATCCAATTCCTCCTCCTGTGGAATATCTGAAAGAACTTGGTCAGAGAGTATTGAACCCTGACACGGAGAATTCACATGGTATCAAAGAACAGAAATGCTGTGGGTTCACAACTTCACTACTGGAACAGCCGCCACCTTCCAGCAAGTTTCTCCCACAGGAAGCAGTTATTTCATTTAAGCTATATTTCCTTATCACAAAACAACATTCACAAATATAATTACTAACTTCGTATCAGGGTCTTATTTATGAAAACGTTATAAAAATGTAAATTATTATTGCCACATTTCCTAAATGGTTAACCAAATGTCAGCCACAGAACTGCATCATACCCAGTAACACCTTCTGATAACTCTTGCCACAAACAGCACTCTCATTTACATAGTGCTTGTAACATCTATTTATAACTTAGGAAACCTGTGTGAACAGAGCTGTGATTCTAAGAACGGGCGTTCTCCCTTTTACTTGGAAGGTGATAAAGGGTAAGGGGAGCAAAATGCAACTGCCAATACATTGTGTGAAATTAGAAAAAAAAAATTTGCTTCAAGAACACAAGCAGGATTGAATAAAGAACCCCTGCTTTATGGCTACACATGGATTTCCAAACAATGCAAACTAAAAAAAAAAGCAGAAGTTACAAAGTGTCTCAAACCCATCATTTATCTTGTTATAAACTCAAAAGGAATGTAGCCTTCAGAACCTCATACAGTTCCCACATGCCACCGACACATTGCTGAGGACGCAAGGTAAGAACAGCCTCACTGGCATCGGCCGGGTATCAATATGCTGCCCCTCGGGGTGGCTGCCATCAAATACTTCAGTGAGAGCAAAATAACTTCTGCTGCTGAAGTAAAAGTGTTTGTTGTGCTGACTGTCCCTCAGTCAACTAATCCAGAAGAGACACACACCACAAAGGTGATATGAAAACCATGAGTATTTATTACAACAGAAACAGGAGTCCACAGGAGCTACAGTCAGTTGCCAGGAGGAGACAGCATCTCAGAGTAGTGGATGAAATGGAGTGGGGCCTTC